ATTTCTAGCCTCAGCGCATCGCAAGTTTTTGTAACGGTTTTATCTGAAAAACTAGGCATATTGCATTTCGATTCAAAAGCAGCCTCTCACACATGTAATATTTGGAGCTCCAACGTGTTTCGCAGCATTGTATGAGTCGATTTTCCTTTATCCCCAACTGTACTTGGCGGTTTACTAGTGCAGTTTTGGCAATATTTGAGCGATGAAAATGTGCTGTTAAATTTCGTCCTTTTTTGCAAATTTTATCGTAATCAGGTACAGCTGCTAATGCGTCTTTTATCACAAGCTGCAAAAGGTGAGCGCTGCACTTGATGCTGTCCCCTATATTAAAAAGTTGTTGCGCTGCTGCATTCATGACTGATGCACTGTCGTGCGTTATCGCTTGCGTTTTATCGGAAATGTTCCAATCGGCTAAAACTACTTCTATTGCCGATGCAATGTTTTCTACATTTGGTCGGTCTATAAATACAAATTATTTAAACAATTGACATGTCTTAAAATTAAAACACAAATTATGCATGTATGTATGAGTGTATGTGTTTATTTTATATATCTACATACAAGGTAGTTATTTTAATAGATTTACCTTCTATTTGCTCGTTACAAAGTGTAACTTTCCACAATTCACTATTTTTGTCAATATACTGGGCTTCGACTGATAAAAAACAATCTTGAGTTCATGATGTCCATTCGTCCACTGAAATTGATGCGCTTTCTACCTCCGCCAAATCGTTTGCAATTTTTTCTCTTACGTCATTATAAAACAATTGTAAGCGTGAGAGTATACTTTGTTGAGAGGGAACTTTGTACCCTGGTTCCAATAACTTCATAAAGTCGCGAAAGCCTTCAGAGGAAACGAAAGAGATTGGAAACATGTTACTTGCGATTAGGCGTGCCACTCCACGAGATATCAATTCCTGACGTTCAAATGTGCAGTCATGAACGGTGTCGTGCTTTTTTCTCTTACGGCCACCCGAGGTGCTCGCCTGCGTTTCAACGCATTCACCACTTGTTGCATCGATATTCGTGTCCGGTGTTCTACATATGTGTAACAAGCTTGTGCTCTATATTTTACTTATAACTTATATTTTTCTTTATTTGTACTTACATGCCACCACCACGAATCGGTTCCTTCTTATGGACTTGTTTCAAGTGAGTGCTTAGCGAGGAAGTGGAGTGGTGGAAACTAAGGACTGCTCCACAAATGGAGCAGGTAACTTGCTTACCATCACTGCATTTCGTAAAAAAAACTCCACACCCAACTTAGTTTTCTTGCACTCATGTTCACAAAAACACACAAAATTTATAACTTCTTGTTTTTTTTTTGACAAATAACACTTATTACAACGATCGAATATTCGATTTTAAGAAGGTATTCGAATAATCGTAGCTTTGCGACTATTCGAATAATCGAAGAGAATCAACTATTCGAATAGTAACATTCGATTTCCAATCGGACAAACAATTGCCATTCGAACGTTCGAATATTCGAATAATCGAATTATTCGAACAATTTCAAGAGCTCTAGAAACTACCTTCTTTTTGTATCATGGGGTATTCATTCTGGCTGCGTTTCTTTATACATTCCGGATAAACCCATTTCACAACCAGAATAAACAGAATGCCATTGAAATATACGTTTACATATCATCAGGAACGTTCTAAAGAATAAGTAAACAAAAAAGTTTATTCCAAACGTTCAGAATGAATAAAGAAATGCAGCCTCTATTTTTCAGCTGACTACGGTGAAGCTTTCTACTTTGCATTCCCCGTAATGAATCAAAGCAGTGAAATTAATAAAATATTGTAGAACATTCTGCTATGCATTACCGGCAATACCTAAAAGAAGCAAACAAATTAGAAGACATTATAAGGCAATGCGTTCTAGAACACGTTACCACTAAAAGCGATTACCGATTTTTTGCTGGGAACGCGCTTGCATACATACATATGTATATACATATGCTACTTAAAATGTATCTAACCGTATGCAAATCCATTAGTTGAAATGCGATCATGTTTGCATACAAAAAAATCTTCATGCGTCCATACATTTAAAAAATACTGACATTAACGGAAATAATATATGTCCGGTTCTCCTCGTTTGTTTTATTCGCGTTTATGCATTTTATTCGGTAGTCCATAAATAGCAAGTCAAAAATAAAGAAAAAGTAATACTGGTAGTATTATGTATGTACATATTGTACATGCTTTCTTATGTATGTAAGTGTAAAGCCAAAAATAATTCCAAGTAAAATATGGCGTATTTATTAGTTGTAAAGTTATTTATATTTCTTTCTTTCGTTTGTGATATTTCTATATTTGCAGCAAGTCTTAACGACTAAACTATTGATTAATTGCCGTGATATGCTAAGCTATGGATGCTCAGCAGAGGTGCAAGTTAACAGCAGACCACACATGAAGGTTTAAATACAGATTGAAGTTTCAATAGCAAAATATCATGGTTTACAGTGTCGAAAGCTTTAGAAAAATCCAGCAGTACTAGTATGGTAAGTAATTTGCTATCAAAAGCGGGGCGAAAGTCGTCCATTCCCTTTATTATTGCTGTTGAACAACTGTGATTAGATCGATCTAAGGCCAGATTGAAACTCACTTAAAAGGTTATTTTCATTCAGATGTGAGACTATTTGTTTAGAGATACATTTTTCAAAGACTTTTGATAGTGCCGACAAAACACTGATGGGTCTATAGTTTGAAGGGGTCATAAATTTTACCTTTAGGGATCGGAATAACATTTTCCACTTTCCATTGATTTGGAAATGTAGAAGGGGTTATAATAAAATTTATTGTGTGTGTGAGCGAGGGAAGGACGAAGGGAAGAATCAGTTTTAAAAACCGCAAGCTAATACCATCCACGCCAATGGAATTCGATTTTATAACATAGATACTCCTTACAACTTCATCTTCAGTGACTACATCGAACGTA